GGGGAGGCTGGTCCCATTAGTGCCCTACTTTGCGGGGTGGCGGGGGGGAACGGAAGCTCAGGGGGTTTCTTTCACGTCCTGAAGATGTGGTGGCAAATTGAAGTAGATGCCAGTTCCCGGCTGGCTCCCAGACAAGGGCCTGAGAAACCTCGTTTGTCAGGCTGGGACGACACCTGGTGGCCAAAGGGAGAGCTGCAGCCTGGGCGGGCCTCAATGTCCCTGGCTTAAGGCTGGCTTGGGTTCCTCCGCTGCTCACACGCCCTCCATGGCTCTCGTAGTGTCCTCAGTGGGCACAGGGGTGCTACATGAGCCCCTCCTGGGTCATTACAGAGACTTCTGACTACAAAACCCAGCCTCTTGGGTCAGACCTAAGCCCTCTCCTGACTCAACCTCACAGCCTCAGTTTCCCCAGCTGGGGACTAAACCAAATGGCCTCTGCTTTTCAGGAATTGGTGACTGCAAGGCTGGCATGCATTAGGTGCTCTATAACTGCAATCGTCACCCTCAGTAACACACAGGAGAGGGGCAGGGACTTGAGCTGGCAGCCTCAGTCCCGTTCCCTCAGCAATTGCTACCCATCCCCTCAGGACAAGGCATCCAAATCAGGGTCTCAATTTCCTCCCTAGAGTGTGGGGGCCTCCAAACTTTCTTGAGGGTCCTAGTGTGTGGTCTTGAAATGCCCGCTGAAGTCCTACGAGAACAGAAATATTTACTAGGGAGTGGGTATAGGGCCTTGCCAAGCACTGAGGAAGGCGCCCTTGAAAACTTCAATTTTTTTTTTTTTTTTTTTTGAGACAGGCTGGAGTGCAGTGGCGCAATCTTGGTTCATTGCAACCTCCACCTGCCAGGTTCAAGTGATTCTCCCGCCTCAGCCTCTTGAGTAGCTGGGATTACAGACGGGAACCACCACGCCCAGCTATTTTTTGGTATTTTTTAGTAGAGATGGGGTTTCACCAAGATGGCCAGGCTGGTCTCAAACTCCTGACCTCAATTATTTGCCCACCTTGGCCTCCCAAAGTGCTAGGATTACAGGCATGAGCCACCTTGCCCTGCCAAAACTTCCATCTTGAAACTATATGAGTCAATTCTAAATCTTTCAGGATAAAAAAAATTATATATATGTATATATAAAAACATATGAGGAAGGCCTTGAAACTCTGTGTAGGGGGCATTGTAACTGCATATGGGGGCCTGGAAGCTGCCATGGCGCACCTCACCTGGCACGCCTCTGTGACCGACCTGGGTTTGGGGCCCTCTAAATCTCCCCATGCATGGTCCAGGGGATCTGGAAATGTCTACTTGGGTTTGGGTACGGACAGTCTGAATTCCCATGTGGGGGAGGTTCTCGAAACTCCTCCTTTCTTTTCCTTCTTTTTTTTTTTTTTTTTTTTTTTGGTTTGAGACAGGGTTTTGCTCTATCAACCAGGCTGGAGTGCATGGGTGCGATCTCAGCTCACTGCAACCTCCACCTCCCGGGTTCAAGCGATTTTCCTGTTTCAGCCTCCCAAGTAGCTGGGATTACAGGTGCCAAACACCATGCCTGGCTAATTTTTGTATTGTTAGTAAAGATGAGGTTTCACCATGTTGGCCAGGCTGGTCTCGAACTCCTGACCTCAAGTGATCCTCCTGCCTTGGTCTCCCAAAGTGCTGGGATTACAGGTGTGAGCTACCGCGCCCAGCACTGAACTCCTATTTTCAAGGTCCCATACTTCTTGGCGGCCCTGGGAGGGTGTGTGGTTGTGCCCATTTTTTGAGGTTGCAGGGGAACCTGAAAGGGTTTTGGACCTAAGCCTCACTGGCCCAGGGCCTGGGGAAGGGGTCTAGGGATCAGGGATAGCAGCCAATCCTGCCCCCAGGGCTAGAACCCCAGTTTCTGACCCTCCCTCTGTCCCAGGTGACCCTGATGGCTTCCCTTGAGGTGGAGAAGGCTCAGAGCCAGAGCAGGGTGTTAGAGTGGAGGGGGATGGGGGGCGGAAAGGGGGCGGGGCCAGAACACTAGTGGGGCGTGGCCGTACGCGGGGCGGGGCCAGAGTCAGGGTCTAGAAGCAAAGGGACAGGGCCGAGGTCCCACAGAAGGCCGGGACGGTGAAGGGTGGATTCCTGGTGGCCCGAGGCCGCGTGCCCACACAGTGGTCGTCAGGTTCTTCCTTTCTCCCAGGAGAGATCGCAAAAGTAAACCGGACTCTGCTGCTAACTTCGACCTGGGACCCACGTGGGGTGACTGAGGCCAGAGACCCCCTCCCCACACACACCACGCCTCTCGTCATGCCTCACCCCTCCCCGGGACCCGCTTCTGTCCAAAAAAACCCCCATGGGCCGCAGCCTCGTCCCTCAGGCCACATGGCCCAGCCCTCTCCCCCGTTCCAGTTGAGGTTGCAGCCAGCGGACATTGCGATACTGCACTACAGCCTGGGCAACAGGAGTGAAACTCCGTCTCAAAAAAAAAATTTTTTTTTAAGGGCAAGTTTTAAGTTATGTATATTTTGCCACAATTTAAAAGAAAAGAGAAAAAACAGGTCTCTCTTGGAAACTGGCCCTGAATCCACCACCCTACTTTTGCATGTGTTTCTGATAACTTCTGTCGGGAATGCAGCTCACGAGAGCAGGGCCATGTTCTCTCTCTGTGAGCCTTGGGCTGCAGGGGGCCATGAGGCAGGCAGGCAGACTGGATGTGACAACAGAACTTAGGGTGGGGACAGGAGTTACTTTCATCTCCTGGCTGCAGATGATAAAGCCCAGCAACAGGCTGGGCACAGTTCATGCCTGTAATCCCAGCACTTTGGGAGGCCTAGGCAGACAGATCACGAGGTCAGGAGTTCGAGACCAGCATGACCAACATGGTGAAACCCTATCTCTACTAAAAATATTTTTAAAATTAGCCAGGCATGGTGCTGCGCGCCTGTAATCCCAGCTACTCCAGACGCTGAGGCAGGAGAATCACTAGAACCCAGGAGGTGGGGGTTGCAGTGAGCAGAGATTGCGTCACTGCACTTCAGCCTGGGAGACAGTGAGACCGCCCAAAAAAAAAAAAAAAAAAAAAAAAGCCCAGCCACGCGCCACCATGGAGAGGGAACCCCATGCCAGGGCTGTCTTGGTTATGAGCAGGGGACAGGCAGAGGGGCCACCACCCCTCACTCCACGTCTCTACTCCCTGGATGCTCCTTTCACCCAGTCACCTTGGACCCCGCAACGCCCCAGGCTGAACAGAGCCCAGGGCCCTGGTTCTCGGGGGACCCAGCACCCAAACAGGAATTGGGGGATGCCAAGCTCCAAGCCGTGCACAGCAGTGGGCCAACAGGATCTCAGACACACCGTGCAGGAAAAGCATTTGGGAAGTTTAACGTCTTTAATGACATTTCAGCTGAAAACAGAAAGCAACAGCAAAACAAAAAAAAGAGCAAAACCCCAAAAAGGTGCAAAACTAATTCCCAGTAAAACTCTGAGCTCCGAACATATAAGTAAACACATACATTTGAGACAGAGTCTCACTCTGTCACCCAAGCTGGAGCGCAGTGGCGCAATCTCAGCTCACTGCAGCCTCAACATCCCAGGTTCAAGCGAATTTCCCGCCTCAGCCTCTTGAGTAGCTGGGACTACAGGCATGTGCCACCATCATCAGCTAATTAAAAAAAATTTTGGTGGGGCTAGGTATGGTGGCTCAGCCTATAATCTCAGCACTTTGGGAGGCCGAGGCAGGCGGATCACTTGAGCAGATCACTTGAGCTCAAGAGTTCGATGGGCCGGGCGCAGTGGCTCACGCCTGTAATCCCAGCACTTTGGGAGGCCGAGTCGGGTGGATCACAAGGTCAAGAGATCAAGACCATCCTGGTCAACATGGTGAAATCCCGTCTCTACTAAAAATACAAAAATTAGCTGGGCATGGTGGCGCGTGCCTGTAATCCCAGCTACTCAGGAGGCTGAGGCAGGAGAATTGCCTGAACCCAGGAGGC